GTCTCTGAGGTTTATTAGTTCTCTTACTTAAAGATAGAGGATAATTTGGAGGGATGTATATTGAACGGATAGTTATAGGACGGTGTAGGGTGACCCTGACCGCAACTGCCTGAAGTGTTGTGTTTAGTTGTATTTGTCTGTGTAGTGTTTGGTTATTTATTAAAATGGAGTTGCCCCCAGAGGCGATTTGGTTGTCGGTGTATATTTGGTTGTAAGTTTGATAGTTGTTTAATGTGAATGTGGGTGTTGGCAATTTAGTTTCTGGTACACAGATTACATTTGGGGTGTGTGAGGTCAAAAGATAAGAGTTCTGCCTGGTTTGCACGCAAACCGCGAATGTTCCACTGAAGAACTGCCATTTTTATTTATTTTGAGGGCACGGGTTCGGTACATTTTTTGGGGGGGTCGTAGGTGACCTTTGTCTTTGTTTTGTTTTGCTGCGGTCACGGTGGACTGCAGCTTTTTTTTTAAGGAGAGTGTGGAGGGGGAGGAGGACCGGAGTCCCGGATGCGGGTAGAGGAGGGGGAGCGGGTGCTGGGAGTGGGTGGATGGACATTATTGAATGAAGGATGATAGGATGGAGGTTGAAGCAATGAGGGTGTAGGGTGTGGTGATTTGTGTGAGGATGATGATGGTGAGGATGTTGTGGGTGAAGATGATGATGGGGGTGATGATGAGAATGATGAGGGTGAGGATGATGAGGGGGGTGAGGATGAAGAAGATGACTGAGAGGGTGGTGATGAAGAGGGGGTGTGGGGAGAAGGCGGATGGAGGGTGGGAGAGGTAGGAGGGGAGGAAGTGGACTCCCTGTCCTCCTCCATCTCCAGTCTGAAGGACCTTTCGGGTTGGGTGTACCGACCCTGGGACTGTCTTCAGAACTTCTGAATATGTTTTTGCTGTATTCTTTTGCGTCGATCCTTTTGGGTACAGCGTTGCTCTTGCTTGAGTGAACGTTCCGCCGTACTGGGCCCTATGTGTGAGGATGGCTTTCTCCTGACACCACTTCGGACACTCCGTCGAAGATGCAGTGTGACCCCCCTGTCGACAATTTGGACACCAGGGATCTACAGAGCAGGTCTCCCCAGAGTGTCCTTCCTTGCCGCAGCGAGGACACACTGCACCACGATGACAGCACAGCTGTGTATGTCTGAAGCATTGACAGTTGAAACAGCGCATCGGTTTCGGTATATTATATGGTCTTACTTCGAGTTCTGGGTATGCGATGTCTAATTTTGTTGGTGGTGTGGGTGTGTTGAAGGTAAGGATCCACGTGTTGGTACAAATTTCCTTGCCATCACGCCGTATTTTGATACGACGAGCATGGACAATTCCATCGACCTCCTGAACAATCCCTTCTTCCGTACAGCCGCAGAGCTCTCGACTTTTGATGACACCTTTGGATGCGTTCACACGTCTGTGAGGCTGAACACTTACAGGGATGCCACCAAACGAGGTGCAGGCCAACAGTTTGCCTGATTCTATACTGAAACTGACCTGTATCAGGAGGTCCGTGGATCCTAGGTTTTTAATGTATTTTGGTTTGTGTATACCGAAATCTTTTAGTGACTTGTGTATCTTGAAAATGCTTAGTGTTGTGAGATTAATGTTTTGATTTTCATCTTTTGGGGAGATCACCAGAAATGGTGACCACCCCAATGATGTTCTTTTTGGTAAGTCCCAGATGCTGAGCATCTTCGCCCGAAAGGCCCTTCTTTCTCTTGCCCAGGCCAGGAGTTGCACCTGCTCCTCCTGTCTGGGACTTGTTGGGAACTGGGGTGGGAGAAATGTTTTTGATTGAATCCATGTATATTTTGTTTTTTATTCATCTCCAGGGCTCCCCACCCGCCACCGAGTCCAACAAGGGGACACCGCTCGGAAGTCTATAGCTGGTGTCAGGGTTACCCTGGAGGTATACTCCCAAATCAGACGGCAAGAAATCTTGCCTTCTAACCAAGATTGGCCAAAAACCGGTCGCAACCAATTGAGTGCTGTAGGCCGCTGCACCCGCCCGTCTAGACCGAATCCAGGGCCAAAGTGGAGTGTTGGTGTGGGAAGCCACACCTCAGCCACCAGGGTCCCCTTCTCCGGTCGTTCGGGTCACACCCCACGGTCAACAGGGTGCCTCGGGTTGCGGGGATTTGGGGTCTATTTTTTTGCTGGACCGGACCTTCGGTCAACAGATCGGAGAGATAGATAGATGGACAGAAGACATAACAAGAGCGGACAAAAGATGTCACCCCTACGTCAAAGAGCTAGTGACGTACGAGTGGCATCCCACCAGCCCGGGGGGGGGGGGGGGGAACTATTTGTATTTTATTCCCCGGTCAGCTCGGGGAAGGACGAAAGCCCCGTCCCCCGTCAAGAAGGAAGAAAGATGATGATAGAAGACAGACGATACACCAAAACAAGTGTCGCCCATGTGCACCTGAGCGTAGATGTCCATGGGCGACAACTCACCAGTCAAGGGGTTGCACCTCCTGCTGGCGGAGCAGTGGGTCTATATATATATCCCCCCGACCCACTGGGGGTAGTGAAATTACGCGATTCTGTTAATTTTAACAAAGAATGATAAAGGAAAATAATCAGAAATTATGTAAAGAAATGATCAAATTTTTGCTAAATTATGCAGGGTGCATAAAACCACGGGGACAGATTGCTTGTCCATGCTTAGCACCCGTGTTACGTGGCCCTTGAGGCTGATGGTACGATGAGTCTCACATTCATTTGCATTAGGTTTCTTTGGTAAAGCTATGAAAATAGATTTTGGCAAGTCTGATAGCATATGTCCAGTGTCATACAATGTATAAGTTGAGAAGTTTTGTCAGTGTGGTTATTCCAAAGTCATCTAAAGCTTTAACCATTTCTGTGGTAATGTTGTCAGGTCCTGCAGCTTTCCCAGTCTTCATCTTCATTAGTGCTTTGATAATTTCTTCCTTCATGATTGCTGGGCCCTCGTAGTTATTTTCCTTTCTCCTTTGTTCCTCTCGCTATTGTCATTGTACAGGTTGTCCCCGCGGTTTTATGCACCCAAAAATTCTGAAATTATGCAAACTGAGCCCAAAAATGTGGAATTACACGATTCTGTTAATTTTAACACAGAATGATAAAGAAAAATAATCAGAAAGTATGCAAAAAATGATCAAATTATGCGGGGTGCATAAAACCACGGAGACAGTACAGGTCACCGAATTCCGTCCAAAGTTCCAGTATCTTATCCTTATCCATGATGATATTCCCATCCTTTGATTTGAGGCATCCTGTTGATCCACGTGTTCTTGTATGGCACACCTTTTTAATGTTTCTGTGCAGATCTTTTGAGTTCGCACTGGAATGATTTTCCTTTTTCTCACGTCTTTCTTCTTTTAACCAGGTCTCTTTTGTTTGATTTTTGTATGCATCTTGGCAAACAATAGATCTACAAATCTGTGTGATTCATTTTTCCTGAACGTACTAGAACATTTTTAATTGGGGGGGGGGGGGGGTTCTGAGGGAGATCCAGAACTAGTCTATTATTCACGTTTGCAAAAAAAAACTCGTGAAAATCCACTCCAAACACCACCAACAAAAAAATATTCCATATATAAAAAATCCATCAAATTTTTTTGGGTATTACATCGTTTCTTCATTCTGTGAAAATTCCATGAAGATTGGGTGAAAAATGGAGGTTTTTTTAAAAAGTATAATATTAGTAAAACCACGTTTCGAGAAAACAGGGGATACAGAAAAATAAAAGATTGACTTTATGAGGAAATGGTGGTGACAAACATGCCCGGTATGGGAAAAAATACGGCTTTAGGGGGTTCTTATGCGATGAAGTGGTTGTAAGAGAGGCTGAAGAAGCTAAAAATGCCTACCACTCAAAACTTAAAATCTATAGTTTAGAGCAGAATCGGCACTTTTGGGGCGCCCCCCCCCCCCCCCCCCCCCCTAATTTGATGTTTTTCCTGCCTTTATTTAAATCTTATTATGTTATTTTAGAGTCAGAGCGTGTCTTCACCAAAACGGAATACTGACATTGGCAGGCCCCTTGTGTGTGATTTCACAATTTACCTGTAAAATACTGTACTTTTTTCTTGGATTACACACGTTTAGGATTAAAACGGCGAATCTTCGGACACGCCCTTATTCGTTAATTTTTGTGGTTGTTTATGTGCTGTTCTAATTCTGATTTCATTATGTTATAAAACCTTTATTTTTCACATTTTTACACAGAGTGGCTACAAATGATATTCAGGACGCTGAAAACAAAGTACAAGAAATTCTGGTGCTTTGGTTTAGATTAAGTTACCTCTGTCAACAGATTGCTATGTACGCGTCGTCACAGAGACTTTAAAATTTGGAAATTATTGGCAACTTTGATGGAAACTTTTGCCATTTTAATTTTTTTTTTTTTATTTTTTTTTTTTTTGGTTTTGTTTGGTTTGGTTTTGGGGGGTTTTTTTGTTCTTTTTTGTGGCAACTTTGGGACCAAAAAAATGGCAACAAACGCAAATGCTAAACCAACTAAACCCTAGATTCTAGACCTAGATTCTAGACCTAGATCTAGACATACCCAGAGCTACAGAGAAACACAATAACCTACTTTGTTGTTGTTTGGGGTGGGGAGGGTGTGTTGAGATAGAAAGACAGAGGACAATAAGTTAGAGAAGACAAACAGCAGGCAGTACACGTTTTTGGATCTACGAGAAGAGCTCTCTTGAACAATCCACGTTCAATACAAAGGAAGGACTTCCGTAACGAGCGATCACTCCAACAAACACAATAAAAAAGAGACCTAACCCTAACCCTAACCCAAACTTAAACCTAAACCCTACCCCTACCCATCTGTTGTACTCTGTCTCATTATGGTCGCTCGATACGGAAGTCCTATCCCAATACAATATTGCAATGCATAACTCCACACGGTTTTGGTCGTCAATAGATTAGAACGATTTAGACCTATAACCCTACTACATACTACAAGGTTCACGTTAGTGATATTCATAATTCAAACTTCTTACCTCGCTTCATCAGCCTTGAGAAGAGTAAAACTTGGATAAAATCTAGAACTTAAGCAGTAAAGCAAGAGATTTCTGCAACACAAATATTAAAATTTCGGATGTCGGGTTGTCTTCATCTCAAATCAACAACAACCACCGACAAAATATGGTTGAGTCTAATCACTACACACTAGAGGGGCAATAGATCACGGAGTTAGGCTCAGCAAAGATCACGAGGAATATGGGCGTATTGCAGGGTGAGTACTTTTTTTTCGTTTAGAAGCTCACTGCCTCGTTCTTTCTGTTTTGCTAAGAACTTCACACTTTGAGGGGGTGGGGTGGGGGGGGGGAGGGGAGCATTGAGTTAAACATTCAAGAAACCATAGTCAAGATTTGTATTCCTCAATCGCCCAATGTTATGGTCCCCGTACTTCGCTCTCAGTATTACTTCTTTTTTTTTTTTTTCTTTTTTTTTTTGGGGGGGGGGGGGTAAGTGGGTTGTTTTGTTGTTGTTGTTTTATTGTTTGTTTGTTGTTGTTGTTGTTGTTGTTTTGTAAATGTATTACGACGCTCGCAATTGCATAAGGTCATAGTCATATGAGCGCGCGGGACACAAAACATTTTCAGTTGGTAGGAAATCTGGAATTTTGCCCAGGTGGCGGCCGAAGCCTACTCTTTTTTAATTTGGACCGCCAAGAGATTTTTAACTTGCGCAACTTGCACACGGGACCTTCGAGATTTTTCGGCCTTGCTCGAGAAGTATGATCAGGGGTGTGGCTGAAAGACAGCAGCAGGAAGGAGCTAAGGAGTAGCCGTAGAAAGTCTGCAGAAGGAGCCAGGAGCCCAAAGGAGGGGGCAAAAGAGGTGAGGGGGTGTGGGTCAGAAAGTGGAGACGAGAGCAGACGACAGAATTTTATTAGAGAGCAGGAAATGGGGTAAAAGGAGAAAATTTTCAGTCGCTTTCCGGACGCAAACCCGGGACCTATTGAATGAGAGGCAAACATCGTAACCTCTTGCCCACGAGAACACCCTTTCGCTTTCAATTGTTAATCTTTTTTCTTTCTTTTTTTTTTTTTTGGTAAGTGTTTTACGGAGCTTGCAAATCTGCATAAGGTCATATGAGAGCACGAGACACATTTACACATTTTAAAGTGGTAGGAAATTTTGAATTTTTGTGGCGGCCGAAGTCTACTCTTATCGATTTTGGACCACCAAGGAATCTTTAACGTGCACAACTTGCACACGAGATCTCCGAGATTTTTCGCCCTTGTCCGAGAAGGCTAGGTGCTGGATCTTACCAATCATAAGATCATGGGTGTGGTTTGAAAGACAGCAGTAAAAATGAGCCAAGAAGTAGCAACAGAAAGGCTGCAGAAAGAGTTAAGACCCCAGAGGAGGGGGCAAAAGAGGTGAGGGGGTGGGGGGGGCAGAAAGTGGAGACGAAAGCAGACGACAAAACATTGTTGTTAGAGAACAGGAAAGGAGGTGAACGGAGAAAATCTTCTTAAAGAAAATTTTCCGTCGTGTCCGGATTCGAACCCGGGACCTATTGAATGAGAGGCGAACACCGTAACCTCTTGACCACGAGATCCCACTTGATAAAGTCTGGAGACTCACGTTGTCTTTACGTGAGCGGAGCGTGTAGTTTTTTTTAGATGATCTTGGTTTTTGCCCCTTGGACTTGGAGTGTACATTCCATGTGCTCCAAAAGTTCACTTTTTTTTCAAAGGGGGTATCAAACGTTCAGTTAAATCTAATAGTTTACCGTCCTCTTTGTAATAAAAAAAATTATGTATAATCTTGGTAATCTTAGGTAACTTCAAAATCAAGCCACAAAAAAAAGAGTCATTTTCGAGCCATTTGGTTAATTTGAAACTCTGGTTCCGAATTTGAAATTATTTTGACGATACGACGTAGTTTTCAAAATGTTTATAAACAAAAATGTTACTGTAGGTGAGCCGCAGGTGCGGCAAACTGCCCGGCCCGCCGGCCGCAACGGAAATCAGGCACAGCCTAGTTTCTGGGGCGCACTCTCGATCGACGAACCTTTACCCGCACACTGCCCAAGGACGACGGACATGCCGCCTCTTTCAAACGACGACTTTTTCTTTGGAAGCATGCCAGTGCCAGTTTGTCACAGACCTCGACTGTGCCCTGCATGATGGAAGTTATCACTGGCTCTCTCAAAAAGAGTTAAATGAATGATTGATTGATTGATTGCATGAATTGAATTGAATTTTATTTTTCACTTGTTTTTAACGAAAGAACATTCATTGTTGAAATTTTAAAGAGTAATTTGCTTTGATTGGCATACAAAAAGGAAGAAATATTGAAAAACGCAAGTTGAATTGACATTTTTAGGGGGACTATCTCTATCTCTGAAGGTGGAGAATAAAAAACTTAAGTTACAACTACAGTGTTAAAGTGTTGTAATTATGACTGTCGTCAATACTCAAATATTTAAATGAAGTTGTGGCAAACTGGGCCTGTGACAGCCCCATTTTCTTTTATGTAATTCCGTTCTTGATACTGCAGGATTGAATGTTTCCGATTCTTGGTGTTGCTGTGTTACAAAAACGAACACACCGAGTTTTGCTTGGGGGAAAAACTACTTCATTCCCACAACACTCGAGTTCGACCTGTGGTTGTTGCTGTTTTGTAGTAACAGCCCACGCACTTGAAAATAGAAAGAAAAAGAAAGAAGAGAAACGATCGGACATCTTTCAAGATTACCAGACCGAGCAAGTCTCACAACTTCAGTTCTCATGGCATGTTATGCCACTGAAATTACAGATAGATTCGTTGCATTAGTCTTATGCATTTTACATAGATTTTATTATCCCTAGACAATGACGGGAATTTTTTAAAACCCACAATTAATGCAGCCTCAGTCAAAAGGATACAAGTTTTCGTCACTGGATTGAGACTATCCACCGCTTGTTCATATACAACACCCAACACTCACTGGGCTAGGGTATGCATATAATATAATGGCCGGGGCAGCTGCATAATATGGTTACGAGCCCCATCAAATGACTCAGTTGGCTCACGCCATGTACCATGTTCTGAAAGAGATGTGTCACATACTGCGGATTCCAGATGCGATTCAGCAAAATATATGCATGGTTTTGCCAGTACTCTTCGTCCTGGCGATGCAAGTGATTATCAAGCCTGCAGAAATTAAAGCAACCCTAGCGGAACTTGGAGAAGGCATTCATAGATGGCACGACAATTGTAACCTCCCAAGAAGAAGATACCCATTGAGAACTTCGACATTTGGGTGATTTAATGGGGTGGTTCCGAATAACTTCAAGCCAAAGAAATCTAAAAGCTTCCCGCGTAGAAAGAGAAAAGTGAGCAAGCACACCTATTTCAATGTAGATGGCAAAAGAATCCCCACCGTATCTGAAAAGCCCGTAAAAAGCCTGGGGAGGTGATATGACAAGAGCACTCAGTACTGACAATGGGTAGAAGAAGATTGACCGTTGCCCTCTACCAGGAAGGCATAAGGCCTGGTGCCTCCATCACATACTAATCCCATTGTTGGTGTGGCCTCTCAGTGTACGAAACTGCCACGAGCTCAATGGAAGCAATGGAGGCAATGAAGAACAAATTCACCAGGAAATGGCATGGTGTTACTCCTGGGCTTTCAAATGTTGCTCTGTAGGCTACCGCCGACAGGCCAAGCTGAGATTGCTACAAAAGTAAATAGTGGAGGAATACAAAACAGGCAAGACAAAACTGCAAGTGATGTTTGTCAATTCAACCAACACTGAGAACTGTCAGAAAAAGAAGTCTTGGATGCCGTGATGGATGACAACGACTTGGAAGCGAGAAGGTGCTGTGGTGGTCTAGGGCACACGGTAAAGAACACCGAGACATGGTGGTCCAAAATGTGAAGAATACTGAAGATAAGAAGAGACATATCAGAAAGCGATCCAACAATCGCAACAGGGCCAGTGAACAAAATGGACCCATGCTTTGCAAAGATCCCTTACCTGGAACGACGAGTGGCACATGGCACCCCCGAAACTAAGCTTCATCATCAGAGCCATATATGCTGCCATCGAAAGCTTATCTCGTGAAGTGGGAAATGAAGAAGATCCCCGCTGCCTATTGTGCTATGAGAGACAATGGAACATGTCCTCAGTTCCTGTAAGGTATTCCTTGCTGATGGCAGATACAAGTGACGGCACAACAGTGTGCTGAAAGAGCTGACTCACAATCTTCTGCAGCCTGGCGACAGGCACCGACAGCGGAGTAGCTCCAGCCCAGATATTCTTCACCACAGGGAAGAAGAAGAAATGGGTTGGAAGAAATCAACCGCCCTGTTTTTCAAGGAGTGAAAACATTGTAGGATCCGCAAAAGATTGGAAACTAGCTACAGATCTCCCAGAGTGGCGCACTACCCTCCCATGATCAAGAGAACAGGCCTCAAACTAGATACATTTGTAACGTTCTCT